CAGTTTTGAAACAAGGTTTTGTTATGTAAGGGCCAACAATGCTACCCATCTGCCTAAAGTGAAGTAGGTGAGGATGAAACTCAGTACCTTGACAAGAGTTTCGCTAAATAGACGGCCATAAAATCTGAGTTATTTATTGCAACCAATGATAATCGCCCTTATTTGTGAGGTGTGGTACTACTCAGTAGGTCAGAACTAAAGGTGGTTTTTAAATAGGATCATCGCCCAACCCTTAACCCTAAAGTTTGGTTTATCCATAAAACAGTAGAGCAACTTCACAGGCCCCAATAGCGTGACACCAGATGATAGGAGTACGTTCGTATTCCATAGTGACGCAGTGACCGTGTTCAAGATGTTTGATTACGAATAGGTTACACGCCCGGAAACCGCTTCACTTGTTTCGGTTTGGGCTACTGGATACTATCGCTTACACTGTGTGGCTCAAAGCACGTTGTACCTATCTGCATTTTGTAAATGAGTTGAATAAATAATTACTCTACACGATTCGTTGTTCCATGATCCTGAAGTCCATGTGTACCAGTGATTCGGTATTAGTCTTCTGACATTTCTAGACGAACCCTTCAATCCATCAACGCAGTCTAAACATCCAACGTTCTACTTTGATAAACTGCTTTTGTAGAAATGCCATAGTCACGTGAAGGAGGCTATAAACTGTTAGATATGTGACAGAATTCCTAAAGGAATGGAGAACTCATTTCATTCTCGGTGTTATATTTATTAATAAAGCAGTGTTTTACTAATCCACTGATTAAACTTTTAATCAGTGGGTAAACTAATTAAAGTACATTTAGGAAGGCCTGGACTACCAAATAATGCTATTAGCATGCAGTTCGAATTGTGAGAGAAGAAACTGTCGAATTACTGTTTCAGGATCTATGTTCCTATTTTACTTAAAATAAAATTGTTGACAAGTTTTACAAATTAGACCCGACTTACAGACAGGTATATATATATATAACTTGCATTTTTTGAACTATAAATGCAAGCAATAGGTTTGTCTTTACACAGCTCTAAAATGATTTTTAGAGTTATAAAACTACAGGAAATTTCCTGCAAAATAGTTAGATCTTACACAAGGTCCGTGACAAAATTTATTTGTAATACACTAGAAAAACCGTATAAATGGTATTTGCATCAAAGTTAATTGCTAATAGCTATTCTTACAATGTTTGGACTGTGAGTATTGTTTAACACGAAGGCGTCAATCCCCCGAAGCCCGCCAAAATATTCCTATTTTAATTATGAACAACGTTTTTTTGTACCAAATAATGATACACTCAAACATACAAACTCCACTGAGTACAAGCTGTAAACTGTTTGTTCTTTAAGACATAGATCTTGGCAGCCATTGACGTTTTTTGTGGTAGATAAGTGTTATTCTTTGTTTATTTTATAATATGTTCACAGGTAATGAGGTTGATCACGGATCGATAGATAACGATTACAGAAGTCTCAATCAGTACTATCGGAGCTAAATTCTGTGTTAGTAGTTTATAAAACTCAGAAAGTGTCAATACTATTATTTTCAGTAACGAACTTCACAGCTCACGTATAATAACGAACCAGTCTTTCGTGAATATGTGCTGTCTGATGCGGATTCTACCCTAAATGTAAACCATTCCATATGTCGTTTGGTACGTAATATTATTGGTAACCTATTGAATCGTTGAAAGTTGTGAGGGACGGGATACATCGTTGTCATCTTTTTTCTGATCCTGGTGTTCTGGATAGGTTGAGATCACAATTCTACCTGGCTAATAAATCTGGCTTCCTACTGAGAACATGGGCCGTCTTAATTGCCCTACCATAATTTTTTTCCAGAGAAATGAGAGTCTTCTTGAAATAAACGGATATAATAACGCTGTACTTATCCATATGTGGACAGATCAACTTGAAATTTCAGAAAGATACTTCGATAGCGCACACATTTCATTGGCTTTAGCGTGACATCTAAGAAAGATATATTTTATTAATTCTATAGGATGATACGAGTCATATTCTTTTGTGACAAATATGGCTTCAGAATCACTGAGAAGTTGCAGGATTAGTTCTTTGCTGATGTTAAGCAGAAATAAGTTTCTGGGTCATTGGCCATTACTCTTCTAATGACTTGATTTGTTAGTGTGGTGACGTAATCCTACGTCCTATTATAACAACCTCCACGACTGTTTACAATGACTTGAATAACTGTTAACTGAATATGATGAAACTACTACGCCTGCACACTGATAAAAAGTGACGCTAAAGAGGATTGATCCTCCATCCAGCCACTAACCATGCAACATGCACGATTTTACCAGTCCTCACAATTTTCAAATCTTTGTGAACAAATAAATTTGGATGGTTTGAGCTAGCAATTACTTAGCAATCATATGTGTGTATGTAATTCACAAGAATAAGAATTAATCCGAGCATAAGTTGTTTGATTCTTAAGCCAAAATTCCAGAACAATCATAACTGAACTAACAATAATAGTAGTCTGACAAGTGAGGTGATTGAGGTTCATATTTCACACCCACAACGAACAGTAACATTCTAATACGCGGCAAAGAGTGTTGCTAATTAAAGGTAAGAAGCAGAATATCGTAAATTACTACCAATGTACAATTGAAAAGAAATGCCTAGAAGTTTACTTAAGTACTTACTGACACCTTTTAACCCTCGTGGAGTAGCACAAGCCACTCACCAGCATTGCCCGTCCAACTCTGTCTTGTGTATTCTCTTTTAGCTGTGTACAGTTACTATTCATCCTTTTCATGTCTGCTTCCAATTCTCGACGTAGTGTGTTCTTTGGCCTTCTTGTTTTTCATTTCCCTTGGGGATTTCAAGTTATTTTTTGCCTCGTGATGCAGCTTGATGATTTCGGAAATGTATGTCCCATGTATCTCCAACGTCTTTTCCTAATTTTCTTTTCAGTTGGAAACTGATCTATCCTATTCCACAGTAGGCTGTTGGTGGTTGTATCCGTTGCTTGTGTAGACAATCGGCCATAAATGATTATGCGTTTTTGGTGATGGTTGTGGTATTTCTTTAGAATTATGGACTGCTTCGTTATTAGTATTGTTATAATAATAGACCAAACCCTAAAATTGTCGATATGTCGTGATGAGAAAACCTAGTTCATAAGATTTTCCGTGGAAGTCACATTATTGACTTTTCTGATTCGTCATATCGTAACAATCTGCCATATAACATCAGACGTTTGTAAAGAGCACATTTAGGTTAAAGATAGAATAACATGTTCAATGTGAGCTAAGAAAAGTTATACAGGATGAACACATCTCCATGGTTGAGCCATGCCATCTGATTGAATTCAATTGCATTGAATATTCCCTCCTCTAACATTGCTGTCCTTCTTTCCGTGTTAAGTGTCGAATATCTATTTTCTCAGTTATCCCAAGTTCAGCTTTGGGGATTGTTTGATAAGAACCAATACCATAACAGTTTTTCAAGCCTCAGCTCCGTACAGTAGGACTGTGTTGACGTTCGTATTGAAGATCCTGGTTGATAGTGGTTTTGATTTGCTCATGGATTCATGGTGAATAATATCATATGGTCCTTCGTAAGCGGTCAGTGGGATCGGGGTATCGAGACACAACTTGCAAAACATGCATACTATATCGTTTGGCAAGCCGACGAAAAACATCAGTTGATTGCGATTGAATCGGCAAAGTTTTTACTGAATCCATCCGTTGGTAATCCTTCTTGTGTAGAAGCTTTGATCTACATTTATAAGAGAAGTCGAAAGATCCGCGAAATATTGATGTCCCTACAGATAATGTGATTCAGTGTAATGAACTATGCACAACCGCCAATTCAGAATTAGTGAGAGGACAATGGCGAGGGGAGCTGTTTATTTAGCAATTACAACAGGTTCATTCAACAGCCCGACAATACTTATATGATTTCAACTACCACTGTCCAAACAACAAAAATAAGAATGAATGACTCCATACATACTTTGGAAATTCTTTCAGACTCTAGATTTCAACCATAAACTGCAGATTGTATGGTGGTACAATCAAACAACATAAATGATTCCATGTCTCATCCAACTTGACTAGCGTTAGGAGATAAGTGCTTCCTCTCATATCTGGTTAGGGTCAAATAAAAATGAATATGGTTGAGACGGGTGTCACATGTGGTGATAGACATCAAAGGGTATTTAACGTGTATCTTTATCTTAAAATTCTGGTAGATTGCACAAGAACGTGCTCACTCTCGCACGCGTTTACTCATGCCAACAAAACGTACGTTACAATAGATGTACCTTAGAATGTATGTAGGGTTCTGACTTCCGTTTGCCTCCCGGTAATTGAAAAAGTTATCTTGTAGACGATCGTCAGTTTTTTTAGGTTGGTTGCTAACTTTTTCGCAAATGTCTTTAAGATGACGGATTGTTGTCATCACACCACTGATGCATAACTGTTGACTATATCAAGCGGCGCTGCTCTCCGGCAAAACGCGTTGGCGGAGGGATTTCTCGAACTCTTTGTCGCAACATGTGCTAGGTTGTAAAAACTCAAGAGCTTCTATGCATTTCGATTTTTATAGATTCGGGATTTACTTTGACAGGATTAACGTAGGTTCTGAGGGTTTTGATGATCCCTAGAATCCAGTCAGTAGATATATTATCGTTATGTCGAGAAATAAGTGATCTAATCTAGCCGGTTGTTGCGAACGATGCGCAGCAGAGTAATCAATGGTGGTGTCATGCGCTATCGTGACAAACAGCCCTTGGTAAGATATGTCCACCGGAACTAGAGAGGTCTGAATAAGTGTCGAAGACTATAAAAACTACGTTAGAGATTTATTTACCGCTACAGTTATAATTGCACATTCGATGTTTGACAGAATATCAACAGATTAGTCTTAGTGTATAGCACAGTTAAATCAATCATAATCACTGATTTGATACATAGCTGATTTATTCTCTTGAAGTGTTTGTATATGGCATAGAAATATAAACCAATCTATAGGCGCGTTATTAATGTATCGCGCTATTTAGATATCTTGGCGTTGTTGGTGTAATGCTTCCAAAACAGTAAGATGCTAACTGATAGATTTTAATATCGGAATGTCCTAGTTTCATGACTGTTATTTTAATTGTTTTCTGTCAGTTCTATTTTTAAATGTAGGTGCTTTCTGCATTCTTACTGCTCTGTGGGAACACTTTTTTGGTCCTTTATCTATTTCAGGTTCATTATTAATACTTCCCTGCACACAAGATACCTTCAGGCTGGACGCAGGTCTATTAAAGGCTGAACGTGACGTGAAAAACGTTTATTCCAAAATGTTTTCCGTGGATTCACAATCTCCCAATTCTGGGGAAATCACCACTGTTCTAATGACCTTCCCCGAAATTGTGAAAAAATTTGAGGTTTTATCAATAAATAGATACATATTTCCTCAAAGTGTTGTGAGATTCCGGGATAAATTTTGGGGAATTTGTAGTTTTGGTGCCATTTCCTTACGGGTTTCTATGGCGGGTTCCCCAAAATTTCCCCAACACAGGTAAAATTATCCTGAAAATTGGAAGATGTAGATTTATATTATCAGTGACAGAGAGTATTCACTTAATTACTAGAGTCTAACGAATTATAAGTTAGATTTAGTATTTATAAATACCAATCCTATAGGATTGGGATTTAGAGTTAAAATTAAGGGTTAGGGTGTGGTGAACCAAATAATATATGCACTATTTGCAAAATAAGTTTATCAGGCATATCTTCACAAGGGAGTATGAAGAACTGACCAGCTAAGCTGTCGAAATGCTACTTAATCATATAAATGAATGTATTTCGTGTAAATATCCTGATTTTCTATCTTTACTTCCGTTGATTCTCTCATAGATCATACTCTCGCCCCAATTCACGCCATATAGTTTAGTCTTTTCGCCTGAATACTAGTTTACTTTCGCCGTTACCTCCCTAGAGATACCAAACTTATACGCAGTCAATACAATTTGAAAAGGTAGTTCATGTGCTAAGTGCCATTCACTCACCAAGTTTTCAATCAGTTTTTAAAAAATATTTTTATAACTTGTTCATATATACATGTTTTTTAAACGTTATTTGTTGTTTATTTGCACAGTTTTTTTTGCCATAGAAGTGGTTCAGCACATTTTTGAGTCCGCGTAGATAATTTGTCCACGTACTTTTATGGGTGACCACAGGGAAAATTTTTTTAAGCATCCCAGAAGAAAAACAGCCTACGGTACGTTATCTCAGGTTTTGTATTTCTTACGATGGCAAATACAATATGATTTACTACTTCTTAGCTAGTATTGGGTTACATATTGGTAAGCTCAATAAAATAAAAAGTTTATTTTATTAGCTCTCAGTTCTTAAACGAAATAGTCGGTCGTTTCAACTTTATCTTTCAACTAGTCCATTCATAAAATTTATTTCAAAAATCATCCAATCAAAGCTGAAAATTAAGGATCTTGAAAACATCCCTATAGGTTGGGATGGTGATCAAGATCGATAACAACTCAAACACAAACCGACAATAAGTTCATTCAGCGGTCGTGAGAAGTGGCGGGGAACGAAAGTGAAATAGATGGGAATGCGGCAACAGTAGGTAGCATCAGACACCTGAACAGACTGATAAATGAAGTAGTTATTAAAGATATAGATGTTGGAGAGCCTATTTCAAAACAAGACAGGAGCATCACCCACTTTTGATTTAGGAGGTAAGACATTTCAGAAGACTTTAGGGGGCAGTTCAACTGACCTCCAGCCAGCCTTCAGTTACCATTTATCTCCAATCAACCTGAATGGCAAGCTGATACAAGTCTCCAACTCTTGAGTTAAAAAGGCTTTGGATAACTTAAAGCGAGAGAGAACAGTAGACCCTAATAGCCCGATCTGAGAGATTTTCAAGGAAAATAGTCAAATTTTAGCTGTTAGGTTGAGTGAGATATTAGCTAAATTTTAGGAACTGGGAGTTGTCTCGTCTCCATCACTGATCGTCCCAGGCTGTAAGAAAAGATAAAAACCCATATGCGATAACCAGAGAGTGATCCTTCTGATTAATATAGAGTCTAAAATATTAGCTTCAATGGTCCGACGCTTATATGGAGCTCGTAAGAATCAGATCCGAGAAATCCAGGCTGCTTTTAGACCTGGACGTGGTCGTACTGACCAAATGTTCGCTCCTAGACTCTAGGTAATATCTCAGTCAATCTACAGACCACAATCCTAATTATCTATTTGCTCATGTTGCAGAAGTTTGACTTCTAATCCTATTAAGAGTATCAGGACTATCTGATCTAATTTCACATTAACGTCACGTGGAGATTCGACTTATCAATTCACAGTAGTTCGGTAAATTTCTTTTCAATGTATAAAAATCTGGTATGCGAAATTTCATTCCTTGGATAAAATTCTCCAGCAAGTCGATAGAACGCTGTGTTGCTTCGAATCACATTTATTTTTTTATGTCTTGTATACGAGGACTTCAGTGCATCAGAAAGAATATGATTGATGGTATCAATACTTTTCCAATATTTTCCATTGTTATTCAGTCAAAAACTACCTGTAAGTAAATCATTCGAAGTTGTAAATAGATGTTTTGTCATAGATATTTAAACTCAGTTGGTTTTATTTGACTCGTTTTATAATCAAACCTGAAACTTTTATGTATGATGCTAACTATGTTACTGCTTAATTGTAAATTAATAATCAAATAGTTCACATTTCGTAACGTAGGTTAATTTGCCCTACGACGATATCATTTATCGTTATCAGTAGCTAATATTAATAATCGATAGAATAGTTGTTTTAGCATACTACCCAATTATTCGCTTTCTTTTTATCTTCTAGTTGCTTCACGTTATTTGGAAAAATCAAATACCATCCATCGATCTGTAAGTGAAGGGTTTGGATTATACTTGCTTTCAAACATCTTAGGTTTCGTCTGTAAGAGAAAAGTCGGTCAATGAACGACAAAATAGTTCTGTTGTGAAGCGGCAATCGTCTCCGAAATTTGGAGTCAATGCATCGAACGCTCAGTTAATCATTGATGTAAGTTGTTGGGTAGAATTAGTAATTATTCACCTATCGTGTATTGCGTGTAGGTTGGCATATTAGATTCCTTTTATTATATTGTTTGCTGTTACGGTGCTGTTATGTTTTAAAACTTGTGAATTATCAATTTCGTGTCTCATCAACCGACTAATTTTCGATTTCCCTTGAGTCACATAATACTGCATTCTGATTTCATTCGAATAGCAATCACTTGTTCACTGTTTGCCACAATTGTACAATCAAGATATACAACATCAATGAATTTGGAAGTTAGTGCATATGTAATATATAATATAGGCCTGTGAACCTACATACCAGAGAAAGTATGTATAAAAAAAACCGCAACCACAATTTTTCACACGGCTTGTATAGCTTTCGAAATGGTTGCTTATGTATTTGGAGATTAAAACGAAAATTAGTAGCCAGATGTAAAACTGTACCGTGAGCTTAGAACACTCGTTGTAAGGTTACTATAACACACTGATTATTTCCTGTTCGCTTTTACAATTTCTGAAGCTTAGTTGTCGAACAAATGTATCTTTACATCCAAGTATTTTATTTCTTAAAATATTTCCTGTATAGTTTCAATAGCAATCGTCATTTGGTCACTTAGTACCATTGCATTCATCTTTAGACAGTCGAAAGTTTGCTTATCAAACTGTCAGAAACCTTCTTTATAATATTAACTTTAGGATAAAGATTGATTGTCAAAATGTCAATTATGCGTTCAGTCAATGAAGCCGTCGATGGAACCTATTAAAATGCTCATAATCTGTACATCGCTCATAACCGAATGCAGTTCAGAACCATGCGATAACAAAGTTGATTATTTATTTATTTATTATTTTAACACATAAGTATAGGTACAGGGAGGCACCAAGTACATATGCGCCACACGAATATCAATTGGTTTGTGTGAGGGCTGTGATACTGCACGGGTGCCCAAACCGAAGCAGGTGGTTTTCTTAGGGGGGCCACACCCCGAGCCTTTGACCTAAAGGTCTAGTCCACAAGGCAGTGGAGCATCGTGAGGAGATGCAGTCCCATGGAAGCCGGTGACCAAAAGTTGGTTCATACGCCATTTGTTCCTTCAGGATACTGGAGCCCATGTGCACCATTGATTTGGAATCCGGTTATAGCGCCGGACATTCGCTTTTCGTCCTCTCATTTTCGCAAACAACACCCCCGCCACGAGAATGCAGTGAGTAGGACTTCCCTGGCAGAGGCTATATACGCATGGCCATGTGAGAGCATTTCGAGAGGGGGAGCGGACTCTCCCCACTCTCGGCCGTACCAGGGCATTTGGGGGCAACAAAGTTGATAGAGATTCTTGAGGTCGTACTTTGTTAGTCATAATTTCCTGAAAATTTTCTGACTTCATGCTCAAAACCTCCAATCCTGGTTATAAGACATTCAGCTAAGCTTTTAGTAATTCCTCTATCCAAGATCTCATCATCTTTCCAGACTAATTTGTCCACACCCCCAAATGCCCTGGTACGGCCGAAAGTGGGGAGAGACCGCTCTCCCTCTCGAAATGCTCTCACATGGCCATGCGTATATAGCCTCTGCCAGGGAAGTCCTACTCTGCCTTCTCGTGGCGGGGGTGTTGTTTACAAAAATGAGAGGACGAAAAGCGAATGTCTGGCGCTTTAACCGGACCCAAAACCAATAAATAAATAAAATAAATAAATAAATAAATGTGTCCACAGTTGATATAAGAAAGAATATGTCATGGCGCTTGACCGTTAATTGATGCTCGTGCAGGCGAAGATAAAGCGGATGTCCTCTTTATTCGATGTGGTGTTTATCGCAGTTGGTATTGTTTATTTTGTAGGTGATGGGTTTTTCTTTTGTTGTTTCGTCCTTTGGTTTGCATAGGATTGAGATGATTTTACTGGTTTATGTGCTACACCTATTCCAAACGGCTTCAATAATCTCGTAATCTCTGATGTCTTTTATATATGGTAGATGATCCGTTTGTTAGTTCTTGTACTTGATTTCGTTTTTGTTCATGCGTTGGGTTGATATGTTCTGATGAAGTTGAGTGGGTTTATTTATTATTTATAATTTGAACACATAAATATTGGTACAGGGGAGCACCAAATATATATGCGCCACACAAAACAATGATAATTTGAAGAGAAGGAGAAAAGAGAAAAAAAAGTAATGAACGTGGGGAATTATAAAAAAAGGGGAGAGAGAGAGAGAACAATGGTGGGGGAAACGGAAAGGTACAATCTAGAAGAGATCTTTCAGTTAAGGAAGATACAACCACTTTTTATGAAGAATGTAAAAGAAGGTTACAGCAGGATCGCCACTGGCTTCTATTCTGAGCCATATCTGATAACGTCTCTAGCCACTGCGTTACACCGTCTCTCGGACCCCAACCAGGGAGTCGTGAAGGACCAACAGAAGCTAGCCCTTTGCAGTTTTCTTTCATACCACGACACCATGTCATATACTGACCACCTCCGCTTTTTCCAACCAGTCCCAGAGTCGGCAAATAATGCACGACGAGGAATTCTCTGGGACGACATTCGTAGAACATATCCAAGCCACCGAAGTCGGTGTTTCAAGATGGTGACACCAATTTCATTATCGTCTCTGTGACCGAACACTCGATGCCGAACCTCTGCATTACTGACATGGTGTTGCCACTGGATGCCAGCAATCCTTCGGAGACAACGATGATCGAACACAGAGAGTCGTCTAACATCCTCAACTCGGAGAGGCCAGGTTTCACAAGCATAGAGCAAAACTGCTCTCACCAACACGTTGTAGATCCGACCTCTTACAGCCAGACTAACATCACGAAGACGCCAAAGGAGGCCCAGATTGCCATAAGTCGCTCTGGCTTTCACTATACGTGCATTGATCTCATCACTCACACCACCACCAGCACTTATGCAGCTACCCAGATACACGAACTTCTCGACTACTTCTATCTGCTCACCATCCAGAGTGAGTACAGGATTAGAATCCTGCCAGTCTTGTAGAAGTACTTTGCACTTCGAAGGTGCAAAGCACATACCATACCTACAGACACTGATTGCCACCTGATTAAGTGCGGATTGCATGGCTTGGGCATTCTCGCACAGTAAGACAATATCATCCACATACTCAAGGTCGAGAAGTCTTTCTCCAGGCAACATATCCACACCACCATTACTTACATCCGTCAGAGCTGTTTCCAGAATGTCATCGATGGCAAAGATGAAGAGGAATGGTGAGATTGGGCAACCCTGCCTAACCCCACTGCTCGAATGGAATAGTGGAGAAAGGTGGTTATATGCCCTCACTCTGCCTGAGGTGTTTGTGTATAGGGCTTTTAGGATGTTAATAAGCTTCTCTCCCCTTTTTCTTATAATTCCCCACGTTCATTACTTTTTTTTCTCTTTCCTCCTTCCCTTCAAATTATCATTGTTTTGTGTGGCGCATATATATTTGGTGCCCCCCTGTACTAATATTTATGTGTTCAAATAAATAAATAAATAATAAACATTCTGGAGAAGAACAGTTAACTGGTGGTAGAACTCGTCCTTGATTGCATCCGGGCTGCAATCTGTCGGGGCATAGGCGGAGACGACGAAAAGACATCGTTTCTCACACCGATTTCTTCTCACTTTGATGGAACTTTCTAATCTAACAGCACATAACCGACTGTTAATGGGGATCCAGTCGATTAGTGCTGCCTCAGCTCTAGCACTTAGTGCGACACCAACGCCAGCAAGACCAGACGAAGATGCCACAGGGTCCCTGGATAAACGCACGTAGAACAATATTTTTGAAGAGACAGATGGAGAGCGCATTTGTAGTACTTCACCAGAGTCTTGAATACGGGTATCGGTTAGACAACAAATGTCAATATTAAGACTATCCAAAGGCATAACCAGCCCTATCTGTTGTCCGACATGCATAAGTGTGCGAACGTTGAAGTCAGCCAGTTTGAATGGTGCGCGTGGTTTCAGAAAAACTGCTTCAGTACTCGTATTCGGTGGTAATATACAATTTTCAACCAGGCAGTGACTCGAGAACGTTTAGATAAAGCTGAAATTTTAATCATAGGCGAGCTGCTGTCTGAGTCCAAACGGATACAAAAAGTAGAAATAGGAGATAGTGAATAAATGACGTAGTAAATAATAATAATAATAAAAGTCATTTCAATGTTAGTCGGAGAGAAACGAATATTTTCCATAAGCAGATAGTTCATCATGGTTTTAGTGTGTAGGCTGAGATACTTCCCGGGTGCCCAGACCGAAGCAGGTGGTTTTCTTAGAGGGCCACACCCCGAGCCTTTGACGTAAAGGTCTAGTCCACAAGGCAGTGGAGCATCGTGAGGAGATGCAATCTCATGGAAGCCGGTGACCAAGAAATCGGTTCATACGCCATTTGTTCCCGCAGGATACTGAAGCCCATGTGCACCATTGATTTGGGATCCGGTTATAGCGCCGGACGTTCGCTTTTCGTCCTCTCATTTTTGTAAACAACACCCCCGCCACGAGAATGCAGTGAGTAGGACTTCCCTGGCAGAGGCTGTATACGCGTGGCCGTGTGAGAGTATTTCGAGAGGGAGGGCGAACCCTCCCCGCTCTCGGCCATACCAGTCCATTTGGAGGCTGTTCTTTTGAAATAGTCTTTAGATATATTTTCCTATCCCGAAGGTTTTTAGCAGTTTTGTTGCGGTTTCTGATATGCCATTTGTGTGGCACACAAACCGACAAAATCACTACAATCAATCCTATGCAAATCAAATGATGAAATAACAAAAGATGATAAATCAAACATCATCTACAAAATAAATTGTGTCAACTGCGACAAACACTACATCGGACAAAGCGGACGCCCCCTTCACCTGCGCCTACATGAACATCAATTAGCAGTCAAACGGCATGATATCTCCTCACTTATATCAATACACGTGGACAACTGCGGACACACATTCGATTGGAAAAATGTGGAAATCGTGGACAGAGGAAATTCTAAAAACACAAGAGAATTTTTAGAAGCCTGGCACTTAGGTCAATCAGCAATCAACAAACATATTGAAATCGATCCGATTTATCAACCAATCAGGAAACTTATGCACAAATATAGGAACAAGAATCAAACCAATGGGAGACAAAACCAAAACAAAAAAGTAAGCAATGACAAATTTAAGATCAATAATAACCAATCAACATCGAGGTGTACAGAACAAGCTGTGAAACTCATGGAGAAATTCGAACACTTCACTTCTATCTGAAGTTTGTGCTGATGATGTCGTTCAGAAGAGCGATGAAAGCTCCACGACCAAACCATCCAGCTCAAAGAACAAAACTCCACCAAAATCTTGGATCGAGGGATTAATAAAAGCACTAGACAATTTTCGGATGCTTGGAACTCAGGTCACTCAAGTCTGCAAACACATTGAAATCGGTCCAATCTATCAATCGGTTGGAATAATCATAGACAAATATGGGACCAAGAATCCAATCAAAGGGAGATACACTCAAAATAAACAGGTAGACAGTGACAAGTAAAAGGTCAACAATAACCAATCAAGACCGAGATTGTCAGGACAAGTTGTGAGTCATATGTGGATAAGTTCGAACGTTTCACTCTTGCTTGAAGTTTATGCTTATGATTTTGTCCAAAAGAACAATGAAAGTTCGACCGAACCATTCAGCTCAGAGAACAAATCTCTACCCAAATCATCCACCTGACCTACAAATCACCATCTCACAAGTCACTTTTTTGCTTGTCAATTTTCGGGGTCGTGGATTTTATTGTTAAATTAAATGGTATATTTGTCTATATAGAATAAATAAAGTGTGATCATTAATGGTATTTAGGACTTGCGTTTCGTCCCATATTTTCGTTTCATATTTTAAATTATAACCCCTTTCCGGTTATCTTTCCTAAGGAACTTTGAAAATATGTTTTACTCAAGGCCTAGTGTACTTGAAAATCTTGAAGCGATTGAGAATATTTTTAAGTTATATGTTAATATAGACCAATCATGTTTAAAATAATAATATTGTAAATATGTAAGAAAAAACCCTCGAAACAATTGAAAATGCCTTGTTAGTATTCACTCAAAACTATTTATCCATTTTTTAAAATTGATTAATTAATTTCAATTTTTTTCCGTTTATCAAAAATTAATAATAAGTAGGATTCAGTTGCTTCTGCAATTCACTCACATGACATGGAACATGGTAGCGTAATTGAACATTCTTCTGGTTCATTAATCTTGGATAATCCTGTAAAAAAGCTTAATGAATTAGATGTTGATTCACTGTCTGATATATCATTAGCTGCATATACTGTCTGGATATTGTTTCAACGTTATACATCATCTTACATTGTGAATAAAGTGGAATGTGATTATGTAAGTTTTAGTTCCAATATTTGACAATGTCTGTAATTAAATTAATATCTAGTTTAGATTTTTATTGACTATATCCAATCTAGATTATATTTTGTTTGTTGAAACAGTCAATATTTAATGTCTTACCTTGTTTGGTAAATCACTCTACCTTCAATATTGACGCTTCCTGTATTAAACTGGGGGAACAGTTGAGATAATTCTGATACTCTCACAAGGCCACGCGTATACAGCCTCTGCCAGGGAAGTCCTACTCACTGCATTCTCGTGGCGGGGGTGTTGTTTACGAAAATGAGAGGACGAAAAGCGAATGTCCGTCGCAATAACCGGATCCCAAACCAATGGTGCACATGGGCTCCAGTATCATGAAGGAACAAATGGCGTATGAACCAATTTCTCGGTCACCGGCTTCCATGGGACTGCATCTCCTCACGATGCTCCACTGCCCTGTGAGTTAGACCTCCAGGTCGAAGGTTCGGGGTGTGGCCCCCCTAAGAAAACCACCTGCTTCGGTTTGGGCACCCGTGCAGTATCACAGCCCACACATAAACATAATGAAAATGATGATCTTCTCTGAAAACTCTGTTCACGCTGCGATTTATCGTCAAACAATTAACATTATTATTAATATTATTATTATTGTTATTATTATTTACCACGTCATTTATTCACTCTCTTTTATTTCCACTCTGTCTATCCATATTTTTCGACTTATGCAGCAGCTCGCCTATGGTGGACATTCGGCTCTATCTAAACGTTCTCAAGTCACTGCCTGGTTGAAAATTGTATATTACCACCGAATACGAGTACTGAAGCAGTTTTTTCGGAACCACGCGCACCATTCAAACTGGCTGACTTCAACGTTCGCACACTTATGCATGTCGGACAACAGATAGGGCTGGTTATGTCTTTGGAAAGTCAGTCATCTAGACATCATTAATAATTCACCGCTTATCCAATAACTGTATTTCAAAGTCTTTTTGGTTGCCGATTTATATCTAGGTTTTTGTAGGATTCGTAGTTGCTAACCTCACATTCAACCGTCCTTGCTTAGGGGGGGGGGCTGGGACCGGCAATCAAAGTATTTTACAAATATACTTACTTGACTATTGAGCTGGATTTGTTTTAATCATTCAAACAGCCCCCAAATGCCCTGAAATGGTCGAGAGTGGGGTGCGTTCGCCCTCCCTCTCAAAATACTCTCACACGGCCACGCGTATACAGCCTGTGCCAGGGAAGTCCTACTCACTGCATTCTCGTGGCGGGGGTGTTGTTTACGAAAATGAGAGGACGAAAAGTGAATGTCCGTCGCAATAACCAGATTCCAAATCAACGGTACACATGGGCTCCAGTATCCTTCGGGAACAAATAGCGTATGAGCCATTCGTTGGTCACCGGCTACCATGGGACTGCATCTCCTCACGATGCTCCACTGCCTTGTGAGTCAGACCTTTAGGTCGAAGGCTCGAGGTGTTGCCCCCTAAGAAAACCATCTGCTTCGGTCTGGGCACCCGTGCAGTATCTCAGCCCACACACAAACACATGATGAACAGTCTACTAATGGAAAATCTCGTCGCCCCGATTAACAATCAAATAACTCGCATTATTATTATTATTACTATTGTCATTATTATTATTAATATTTACTACGTCATTTATTCACTCTCTTTTATTCCTACTCTATCTATCCTTAATTTTCGACTTATGCAGCAGCTCGCCTATGGTGGACATTCGGCTCTATCTAAACGTTCTCGAGTCACTGCCTGGTTGAAAATTGTATGTTACCACCGAATACGAGTACTGAAGCAGTTTTTTCGGAACCACGCGCACCATTCAAACTGGCTGACTTCAACGTTCGCACACTTATGCATGTCGGACAACAGATAGGGCTGGTTATGCCTTTGGATAGTCTTAATATTGACATTTGTTGTCTAACCGATACCCGTATTCAAGACTCTGGTGAAGTACTACAAATGCGCTCTCCATCTGTCTCTTCAAAAATATTGTTCTACGTGCGTTTATCCAGGGACCCTGTGGCATCTTCGTCTGGTCTTGCTGGCGTTGGTGTCGCACTAAGTGCTAGAGCTGAGGCAGCACTAATCGACTGGATCCCCATTAACAGTCGGTTATGTGCTGTTAGATTAGAAAGTTCCATCAAAGTGAGAAGAAATCGGTGTGAGAAACGATGTCTTTTCGTCGTCTCCGCCTATGCCCCGACAGATTGCAGCCCGGATGCAATCAAGGATGAATTCTACCACCAGTTAACTGTTCTTCTCCAGAAAGTGTGTTCGACAGATATTGTAGTACTAGCCGGAGACTTGAATGCTCAGGTCGGGCATCTAGGCACAGAAGAGAGTCGTTTAGGTGACCGATGGGGACTTGTTGGTAGTAGGACAGATAACGGGGAACGTCTACTGCAGCTATGCACAGACCACAACCTGTTTCTGGCTAGCACTAACTTTCGGCACAGTCATCGCCGATGTGCCACCTGGCGTCCCCCTTCTGCATCTCAAGCCTGGACTGAGATTGATCAAATCGCGATCAGCTACCGCTGGCGTGGTTGTGTACCTATCTGGAATCTGATCTGCGCCAATCTTACCTTACTTTTCAGTGGCCAACGAAGTGACCGCCACCAAAGGATTGATGTTAGCAAGCTGGTTGCAACTTCTGTTGCTAGTAAGTATCGAATCGAGCTAGCTTCTAGGCTAGCTACCATTCCACCGAAAAGTATAGATGAGCACTGGTTGCAATTGCATGACGCCATGAAAATGGCGGGTCAAGTCAGTTGTTGGTTCGCGAAACGTCCCGCTAATAAACACTGGGTTTCTTCTGGTTCCTTACAATTGATTGAAGCCCGTCGGTCTACTCCGGGTGACCGTGAGTTTGACCACAGACGAAGGATGTTACGTAATGAAATTGGGCAAAGCTTGCGTAAGGACCGAGAAGCCTGGTGGTCGGAGCGTGCTAACGAGCTGGAAGCAGCAGCTGCATCTGGTAATTGCCGGAAGCTCTTCCAACTCATCCGAGCCACTGGCAGCAAGAAGTCTGGTGTGAGCGAAACAATCTGCGAGGATGACGGAACGCCAATCACTAACATCCATCGACGTCTTGGACGATGGGCAGAATTCTTGGAAGGGCAGTTCAGTTCAGCTGGCCAGCTGCTCCGGCAACATCGGTCAGACTGTCCTGCCCTCCATGGCCGGTGACGACTGATCCACCAAATGAGGCGGAAGTCCGCAAGGAACTCCAACTCTTGAAACGCTACAAATCACCGGGCCCAGACGACTTACCTCCGGCTCTTTGTAAAGATGGTGGTGACTTTCTGACTAAGGGACTGACGACGTTGTTTGCGAAGGTCTGGGAACTAGAGAGTGTACCAACGTCATGGAATGAGTCGATAGTTGTCCCTATCTTTAAAAAGGGTTCACGTTGTTCCTGTAACAACTATCGGGGAATAAGTCTACTTCCGATTGCGTCCAAGCTATTGGCTTCCCTCATATTTCGTAGGTTGTTCAGAACCCGAGAAGGATTGACTCGCGAGGAGCAGGCTGGGTTTCGTTCTGGTCGAGGATGTATTGATCATATCTTCACCCTCCGCCAAGTGTTAGAACACCGCCATACTTATCAAAGGCCAACAATCGTAGTGTTTCTTGATATCAGGGCTGCCTTCGACTCGTTGGACAGAACTGTTTTCTAGGATTGTCTATTGAAGAAGGGTGTGCCTGAGAAGTTTATTAACATCCTAAAAGCCCTATACACAAACACCTCAGGCAGAGTGAGGGCATATAACCACCTTTCTCCACTATTCCATTCGAGCAGTGGGGTTAGGCAGGGTTGCCCAATCTCACCATTCCTCTTCATCTTTGCCATCGATGACATTCTGGAAACAGCTCTGACGGATGTAAGTAATGGTGGTGTGGATATGTTGCCTGGAGAAAGACTTCTCGACCTTGAGTATGTGGATGATATTGTCTTACTGTGCGAGAATGCCCAAGCCATGCAATCCGCACTTAATCAGGTGGCAATCAGTGTCTGTAGGTATGGTATGTGCTTTGCACCTTCGAAGTGCAAAGTACTTCTACAAGACTGGCAGGATTCTAATCCTGTACTCACTCTGGATGGTGAGCAGATTGAAGTAGTCGAGAAGTTCGTGTATCTGGGTAGCTGCATAAGTGCTGGTGGTGGTGTGAGTGATGAGATCAATGCACGTATAGTGAAAGCCAGAGCGACTTATGGCAATCTGGACCTCCTTTGGCGTCTTCGTGATGTTAGTCTGGCTGTAAGAGGTCGGATCTACAACGTGTTGGTGAGAGCAGTTTTGCTCTATGCTTGTGAAACCTGGCCTCTCCGAGTTGAGGATGTTAGACGACTCTCTGTGTTCGATCATCGTTGTCTCCGAAGGATTGCTGGCATCCAGTGGCAACACCATGTCAGTAATGCAGAGGTTCGGCATCGAGTGTTCGGTCACAGAGACGATAATGAAATTGGTGTCACCATCTTGAAACACCGACTTCGGTGGCTTGGATATGTTCTACGAATCTCGTCTCAGGGAATTCCACGTCGTGCATTATTTGCCGACTCTGGGACTGGTTGGAAAAAGTGGAGAGGTGGTCAGTATATGACATGGTGTCGTGGTATGAAAGAAAGCTGCAAAGGGCTAGCTTCTGTTGGTCCTTCACGACTCCCTGGTTGGGGTCCGAGAGATGGTGTAACGCAGTGGCTAGAGACGTTATCAGATATGGCTCAGAATAGAAGCCAGTGGCGATCCTGCTGTAACCTTCTTTTACATTCTTCATAAAAAGTGGTTGTATCTTCCTTAACTGAAAGATCTCTTCTAGATTGTACCTTTCCGTTTCCCCCACCATTGTTCTCTCTCTCTCTCTCCCCTTTTTTTATAATTCCCCACGTTCATTACTTTTTTTTCTCTTTTCTCCTTCTCTTCAAATTATCATTGTTTTGTGTGGCGCATATATATTTGGTGCTCCCCTGTACCAATATTTATGTGTTCCAATAAATAATAACCTGATGAATGACCACAGTCTTTCTTGCACTACAGATCATGAAATTTATATAATATTGTGTTAGACTTCTATTCTCGCTGGAGAAATTAATTCCTCATTATTTTGACATCTGATTTTATTTCAGGCTGACATCAGCCTAAGGATTGTTTAGGCCTTGGGAGATTTGGATATCTGTTTCATCATAGCTTGGGATTTCTCGATAGTACACGTTCAAGACTCCATGTAATGGCGAAAGCAAAACCTAAGGGTTTTGCGGCAACCATGATTTTTTGAGATCACTGCTTTAAAATGTAATAGTCCATGTTTCAAACTTCTATTTTAACGTGATATCACCTGACAATTATCTATTTTCATCTGCACTAGTATCAATCTGAGATGCAGAATTTATTCCAGACTGACCAATTTCGAAATTCATTTTCACATGCAGTGGGACTTCTTCACATTCCCAGACATTGCGAACTTCTAGCTCACACAAAAATTGTAAACTTCGAGCCATACAAAAGTAGAAAAATCAGCTCAGTTATAAGGAAATTTCGATAAAACATTCTACAGGTCAACATCCAAACCTCATTTTTATTTCCCATGTTCTGATTGAAAAATAGCCGCTTCAGCAGTCATGGATAACATAATAATTCATTGGGTTTTTTAAATTCCATTTGTAATCACTAGGTAGTTATGTAAAACGTGGTTGTTCATCTTCATTAAAATATATGAAACCTTTCATGATTGAATATTCTTCAGGTTAAATGGAATATGAAATTCATTATTATTGCTATTGTTGAATCATTTGATAGTTTATGTATTTTCATTTTAGGCTAAAATAGTTGGTCTGTTAAATCGCATAAAATCTACACGCGAAGAAATTATCCGCTTACGTAAAGCAAAACATGATTGGGAAAACTGGTTTCAATCGGTCAAAGATTTACATAATGAGGTAATACTATGCATGTGTATATTACCTGTTGAATTTGCATTGTAGTCTATAATTTCATTTTTCGGTTTTGTACTATATTACTTGTTAGTGGTCAGTAGTTTAAGTGACTTAAGCTATTTACGTAATCACCATAACTGGCGGCATTTGCTTATGAGAATAAAGCAGATTCCATCTGTCCATATTCTTGCTTCGTCTTACTTTCACTTTCTATTTTTGGCAGTGTTTCTTTCTTCCGATCGAACCTTTGGGTTTTAGTAGTTTTTTATTGATCGAGAAGTATGTATAATGCGAAATGCCGCTATGAGTCATCGCGTGCTCGCTTGTCGGGGAGACAAGTTCGTAGAAAATATCTCTGTTGTCTTCTCATCTGCTGATGCATCACGACTTAATACGTTCAATTTCATTTGGTGAATCGTAAACTTATCATATGGAAGCCCTCAACATAGATAATAAAGATCCCTTAAAATGTAGTGGCTGTTCAGACATTTTATTACATGTTTTTATTTCATTAACTTCAACTTATCCTCATTACATCTTGTTGTATCTGATCACGTACTCAGTAAAATCTGTGTATGCCTTTCATCTGATTTTGGCAACTTAGTCTCTGAAATATATGGTACGTCAATTAGTAACCTTAAAACACGACTTGAATTCTGGGAATTTCGATCAAACTGTTACATGTTCCTTGATTATTGACTATCGACCCGCATAGCAAAGTAGAGGCCTTCAAGGAGCCCTAAATTCCAATGCTCTCCAAGCCACCACGACTAGAACACCTAATCTCGATTCTTTTCATTTTCGATGTCGAACTCCTAGTCAGAGAACTGACCAAGTTAGCTAAACGTTTTACGAACAAAAAAGTTCCATCATCTTGTAGTAATGCTATCGTTGTTCCTATTGGTAAAAATGCTTCCTTAGTTTATGCAATAATTATCAGATTATTAGTCTCCTCTCCATCTGGTTGAGGTGTGGATTTGTTTGTTAGAGAAAGACATGTCGATTTTCAGTATGCGGATGTCGTTGGTACACAAACTATACAAATCGCGGTTAATTGGCCAGTAGTTAATACCCGTAGGTATGTTATGTAATATGCATTCTTTCAATCCAAATATAGAACCCTGTACCTGAAATTCATTTGCTCATTCTTGTGAAACCTATCCTCTCTCATCCAAGGATTTTTGGAGACTGTTGATGTTCAATCATCCTTTTCTACAAAGGGCTCCTTACATCCAGTAACAACATCATTCAAGTGATGATGATGCTCGGCAATGTATATTCTAGCACAGTGACGATACTTCAGTTGATGTTACCATCTTGCAACACCGGCTTCGGTATCCTGCTTCTGCTTTTTGGATATCATTCTAACGGCTTCCAATCCACGTAATACTTTTAAACTCTGGGACCGGATGGAAAAAGCCAAAAGGTGATCATTTTATGGCATAGTGCCGTAATCTGAACACTAAATGTGTGAAATCGGGATCCGTTAGTATATCAGAACTCTGTTGTTTTAGTCATAGGAATAAAACGACTCAGCAGCTTGAGATACTATTAGATATGTCCCAGAATATCTAACAGTTGGGATCTCGGTGTAGTATTCTGTTACATTTTTCATGAAAACGAGATGAATTTCTTTAACTAAATCTCTCTGGTCATATTTTTAACGAAACAGTATATCTTGTTAAATATTGTTTTGATTTATGGATGCTCCTTTATTTATTTCTCTACACTGCTATCATATTATTTCTGTGATTCAATTTTCTTTTTGGTACTATGAATAATGCAGATAAACTTCACGATTGTTTCTATATAACTTCTTTTAAACTACAGAATTTCAGAAATAAAACAATTTGATTACATAATGAGTTAATGGTTAAAATGTGCAAATATTGAATCCAATTGAATGTTAGTGAACATGTTTAGAAAAAAATTAACTATAATATTTGTTCTATGACTTAATAAGTATATATTTTCACCTTTTCAATAAAAATAACAGTCCAGATCATCCCACATATTATCAATTGGACTATCATCTGATCCATAAATTATTTTCTTCCTAACCCCTTGATTAGTACGTAACCTCATTTGTTATTTAATCTCGAATCAATTTATGATGCAATCTATTCTATCATCCTATAGGCATATGTATTTTCCATATAACTATATATATATATATATATATATATATATATATATATATATATATATATATATATATATATATATACGAATGATTTCGTCGAAAAGAAAATTTTTTTCACTAAATTCTTTTTTTCTTATTCATTAACTTGTTTATTTTGATATCGTTCAGAACACCTTCTGTTAATCATAATCGTATTTTGTTTTTGTTTGTTTCAAACATTTTTCTACTTCAGCACAAGATACTTACAGATTTAATTCAAATAATGGGTATATCTGAATATAATTCAAAAGAGAATGATAGTTCTTTAGACAGTCAAAATTTTAATAAAACAGAATTAATTCCTCAGCTTGAACAATTTATATTACAAAAATTTTCACCTGTGTTAAATCGTTTAACTGTGAAAGAAATAAACTTGGATAAATGTGAAAATGTTTGTCACGATTTACAACAACTTGGTGACATAGCATCTTTGGTAAGTGGTCATAATATTCCTAGAATGGTGGGATTTCTCTCACTTTTTCGTCTACCATTTAGTATCAAATTGTTGATAAATTATTACTTTTTTACATTATATAATGGCTTTTGATTTGGTGGACGATTCTAATTAGTAAAGCGTGTTCGATATAAGATTTCAGTGTAGTGCTTGTTGTACTAGTGATATATCTTTTGTTTTCAGTGTATAATAAAGTTTACTGCTAACTAAAAGAATCCATAGATCAACAACATTAAAACTATGGAAACCATGTCTCATTTTTGTCATAAATTAACCCTTGCTATGAGTTCTGTGAATTAATTATACTTGGCCTCCTTTTATTCAGTAAATTATACTGTGTCACTGCTAGTCATATCAGATAAATAGCAGATCATAGCTATATTTCCTAGCTTTGGGATTGTACGTAGTTTTGTGGATACTAACTGTTCATCAAGAGTGTGTTCGTTTACTATCTTTAAAACAAATTAGTACCATACATTATTGAAGCGGATGTTTGTTTTTCTGAATAAAATCGTCTGTGTCATCTTTTGTGTTGTCTTCGTTACTGTGGTTTCACGCTTTCGATACTTTAAGAAATCCCCTCTCTGTAAATAGAAAAGAAAATGGAATGACAAATGTTTCTTCATGATTTTAATTCAAACCTTATGTAATAACATATGTAGGTCGATAACATATAATGGTTGATGAATGTAAGTTTATAATTGGGACTTGTTTACAGTCATTTTCCAGCAACCAATTCTAAACTATAGTCAGTTTGAGTTTGATATTTCTTCTTTATTTCTAAAATGATCTACACGAAATAAAACTATCAAAGAAATACAGAGTAAGTTTTTACCATTTAAATCTTCCTCATGTAAAAGCTAAGCACATAGGTAATGTTAAAAAACCCGCGGTACATTTTCAGCAAGTTCTTAGCCAATCAGAAAACAGCTTCCGTAAACCAGTAGTGTATTTAAAGTTAAACGTTAATATCACAAGTTGTAAAAAAGATTTTACATAGTTAATGAATCTATTAATGTCTTCTAGAATTTATTGTGCTTAAAAATCGAGAAAACATTGTCCCAAATTTATTCACATAAATACAGATCACCCACTTAATCGAACTCTTATAAGGACGCAAATAACGTTCTTACGTTATTCTCGGTTAAGATTATGGGTCAGACTATAATTTATGAATGACCTTTGAGTGATGCTAAAGTGACTTTTGGAATGTGCACCTACTAACTAGCACTAAATGAGGGTTATAAACCAGTGTGAGGAATTAGAATTATGGGTGAGACTAATCTATGGACGAGCCAATCAGAAGCGTTTTAGAAATCTCAAGGTTACGGCGTCAACTTCAATACTTAATGCTGACGTACGATGGGTTCATAAGGAATTTTGTACAAAACGTGATAATTGAGCGGCTATAACAAATAAAACGGAGAGACTATAATTTGTGGACGTTCCATTCAGGTATAAGATGACAGATCCCGGATTTCGGTGCGAAAGTCTTTCATCCGTTTGGCTAAATAAAGTTCTGGCATTATAGCTGATGTCAGTTCGTGATCAAAACCCGATACATAATTCCTAACTAAGGCAAATTATGACAATTGTTGCGAACTGGATAATAAAAGCACCAGTAATACTGGCTGCAGTCAGGTACTACAATATATACGGATGTTTGGAGAGCATACAGACTCCTACATAGGCTTGTTTATGTGCATGGTGTCGTTATCCACATGTGGCATTTTGTGTATTCAACAACTGAAGTGAACATAAACAATATTGAAACTATGTTGTCGGGGCTGAAAGAGTTTTTGAGACTTTATCATGGTTCCAGAGGCCGACTATTCTGTAGTCGTATGGATAATTTTCTCTACTGCATGCATTACGATTTTAGAACTTCTGAACCTCTTTCTAACCTTGACAAGTTTTTGAACCACGTATAAGAAGTGTATCCACTTTATTTCCTTGGTTTTGTATAATATATTTTTACTGTATACTTACAGTTTGCTGATTGGCTAATATTCTCAAGGTCAAATAAGATTCGTTCAAAGATCGTCCATAAATTAGAGTCTCGCCAGATTGTGATTTACAGTTAGTGGTTAGGGTTAGGAATCGACATCAGCTGATTGTCAAAACGCTATTCAACCAAATGGATTTATGAATTTTACGCCAAAATCCAAGATTTATCTTATATCTGATTGGTTCGTTCACAAATGATCGTCTCGCCGTCATATGAATAAATGTCACCCGCGAATTTATATTGCGCAATTTGACTAGTTTATTTACAAAATGAAGATTTTTATGTTTAAGACTATCATTTCTACATTCTGGTAGCGAAAAATAGTTTCTTGTGATCATTATAATAAATGTTCTGAACACTATACAGATGTACTCTCACTGCTCATTATACGTGATGATTGAATTTTGTGCTAAAAACACGAAATATCAGATTCTGATTAGCTCGTTTCTATACTATACTTTTACCCATTTCTCTTTTTCAAATATATATCTTTTATTTGTTGTTATTTATTGCATTTTATAGTTTTCAAGCATCAGTGAAAATGATATTGACTCATTTGAACAGTTAGCAGATGAAGTTAATAATTTTGCTGATCACTTACAAAATAGAATTTATCCTCAAAATATTGCACAATATGAACAGTTAATGCAATGTTTACAAACTTTTATTTTATATACTTCACTGAAATGTGAACAAATTGAACGTAAATGGCTTAAACAAATACTTTTAACAGATTAATTTTTTTAAAAATATTTTTCCGAAGAAAAACTTTATTATCAATAAAATTGTTGACTTTTCTACGCTGTTAAGTTGATTGTTTTTATTAGGTACTGTATTACAATTTTTGTCACTTAATTGTCACTGAATAGAAGTCAATGTCATGTTTGTCTAGTCCTTAATAACTCACAGAACTCTAGCGTTTACGTTAAAGTATGGCTAGTGGTAACATGTGAGACGGTAAAACTATGATGACCAGGGTTCAAATCTGTGAGGGAGCACCAGTCCTCTCATGATTACGTATATAACTTTCCGGTGAGTATCAATTAGCATAAAACCTAGGTCTATGAATTCCTCCCGATTACTTATCATCATTAAGATTTAAAATTATTATATACTTACTGTAGTTTAAACTAATAATCAGTCATCTAGACATCATTAATAATTCACCGCTTATCCAATAACTGTATTTCAAAGTCTTTTTGGTTGCCGATTTATATCTAGGTTTTTGTAGGATTCGTAGTTGCTAACCTCACATTCAACCGTCCTTGCTTAGGGGGGGGGCTGGGACCGGCAATCAAAGTATTTTACAAATATACTTACTTGACTATTGAGCTGGATTTGTTTTAATCATTCAAACAGCCCCCAAATGCCCTGAAATGGTCGAGAGTGGGGTGCGTTCGCCCTCCCTCTCAAAATACTCTCACACGGCCACGCGTATACAGCCTGTGCCAGGGAAGTCCTACTCACTGCATTCTCGTGGCGGGGGTGTTGTTTACGAAAATGAGAGGACGAAAAGTGAATGTCCGTCGCAATAACCAGATTCCAAATCAACGGTACACATGGGCTCCAGTATCCTTCGGGAACAAATAGCGTATGAGCCATTCGTTGGTCACCGGCTACCATGGGACTGCATCTCCTCACGATGCTCCACTGCCTTGTGAGTCAGACCTTTAGGTCGAAGGCTCGAGGTGTTGCCCCCTAAGAAAACCATCTGCTTCGGTCTGGGCACCCGTGCAGTATCTCAGCCCACACACAAACACATGATGAACAGTCTACTAATGGAAAATCTCGTCGCCCCGATTAACAATCAAATAACTCGCATTATTATTATTATTACTATTGTCATTATTATTATTAATATTTACTACGTCATTTATTCACTCTCTTTTATTCCTACTCTATCTATCCTTAATTTTCGACTTATGCAGCAGCTCGCCTATGGTGGACATTCGGCTCTATCTAAACGTTCTCGAGTCACTGCCTGGTTGAAAATTGTATGTTACCACCGAATACGAGTACTGAAGCAGTTTTTTCGGAACCACGCGCACCATTCAAACTGGCTGACTTCAACGTTCGCACACTTATGCATGTCGGACAACAGATAGGGCTGGTTATGCCTTTGGATAGTCTTAATATTGACATTTGTTGTCTAACCGATACCCGTATTCAAGACTCTGGTGAAGTACTACAAATGCGCTCTCCATCTGTCTCTTCAAAAATATTGTTCTACGTGCGTTTATCCAGGGACCCTGTGGCATCTTCGTCTGGTCTTGCTGGCGTTGGTGTCGCACTAAGTGCTAGAGCTGAGGCAGCACTAATCGACTGGATCCCCATTAACAGTCGGTTATGTGCTGTTAGATTAGAAAGTTCCATCAAAGTGAGAAGAAATCGGTGTGAGAAACGATGTCTTTTCGTCGTCTCCGCCTATGCCCCGACAGATTGCAGCCCGGATGCAATCAAGGATGAATTCTACCACCAGTTAACTGTTCTTCTCCAGAAAGTGTGTTCGACAGATATTGTAGTACTAGCCGGAGACTTGAATGCTCAGGTCGGGCATCTAGGCACAGAAGAGAGTCGTTTAGGTGACCGATGGGGACTTGTTGGTAGTAGGACAGATAACGGGGAACGTCTACTGCAGCTATGCACAGACCACAACCTGTTTCTGGCTAGCACTAACTTTCGGCACAGTCATCGCCGATGTGCCACCTGGCGTCCCCCTTCTGCATCTCAAGCCTGGACTGAGATTGATCACATCGCAATCAGCTACCGCTGGCGCGGTTGTGTACAAGACTGCCGCTTCTTTTGGAGTACCTATCTGGAATCTGATCATGCTCTGGTCTGCGCCAATCTTACCTTACTTTTCAGTGGACAACGAAGTGACCGCCACCACAGGATTGATGTTAGCAAGCTGGCTGCAACTTCTGTTGCTAGTAAGTACCGAACCGAGCTAGCTTTTAGGCTAGCTACCATTCCACCGAAAAGTATAGATGAGCATTGGTTGCAATTGCATGACGCCATCAAAATGGCAGGTCAAGTCAGCTGTGGGATTGCGAAACGTCCCGCTTACAAGCGCTGGGTTTCTTCTGGTTCCTTACAACTGATTGAAGCCCGTCGGTCTACTCCGGGTGACCGTGAGTTTGACCTCAGACGAAGGTTGTTACGTAATGAAATCGGGCAAAGCTTGCGTAAGGACCGAGAAACCTGGTGGTCGGAGCGTGCCAGTGAGTTGGAAGCAGCAGCTGCATCTGGTAATTACCGGAAGCTCTTCCAACTCATCCGAGCCACTGGCAGCAAGAAGTCTGGTGTGAGCGAAACAATCTGCGAGGATGACGGAACGCCAATCACTAACATCCATCGACGTCTTGGACGATGGGCAGAATTCTTGGAAGGGCAGTTCAGTTCAGCTGGCCAGCTGCTCCGGCAACATCGGTCAGACTGTCCTGCCCTCCATGGCCGGTGACGACTGATCCACCAAATGAGGCGGAAGTCCGCAAGGAACTCCAACTCTTGAAACGCTACAAATCACCGGGCCCAGACGACTTACCTCCGGCTCTTTGTAAAGATGGCGGTGACTTTCTGACTAAGGGACTGACGACGTTGTTTGCGAAGGTCTGGGAACTAGAGAGTGTACCAACGTCATGGAATGAGTCGATAGTTGTCCCTATCTTTAAAAAGGGTTCACGTTGTTCCTGTAACAACTATCGGGGAATAAGTCTACTTCCGATTGCGTCCAAGCTATTGGCTTCCCTCATATTTCGTAGGTTGTTCAGAACCCGAGAAGGATTGACTCGCGAGGAGCAGGCTGGGTTTCGTTCTGGTCGAGGATGTATTGATCATATCTTCACCCTCCGCCAAGTGTTAGAACACCGCCATACTTATCAAAGGCCAACAATCGTAGTGTTTCTTGATATCAGGGCTACCTTCGACTCGTTGGACAGAACTGTTCTCTGGGATTGTCTATTGAAGAAGGGTGTGCCTGAGAAGTTTATTAACATCCTAAAAGCCCTATACACAAACACCTCAGGCAGAGTGAGGGCATATAACCACCTTTCTCCACTATTCCATTCGAGCAGTGGGGTTAGGCAGGGTTGCCCAATCTCACCATTCCTCTTCATCTTTGCCATCGATGACATTCTGGAAACAGCTCTGACGGATGTAAGTAATGGTGGTGTGGATATGTTGCCTGGAGAAAGACTTCTCGACCTTGAGTATGTGGATGATATTGTCTTACTGTGCGAGAATGCCCAAGCCATGCAATCCGCACTTAATCAGGTGGCAATCAGTGTCTGTAGGTATGGTATGTGCTTTGCACCTTCGAAGTGCAAAGTACTTCTACAAGACTGGCAGGATTCTAATCCTGTACTCACTCTGGATGGTGAGCAGATAGAAGTAGTCGAGAAGTTCGTGTATCTGGGTAGCTGCATAAGTGCTGGTGGTGGTGTGAGTGATGAGATCAATGCACGTATAGTGAAAGCCAGAGCGACTTATGGCAATCTGGGCCTCCTTTGGCGTCTTCGTGATGTTAGTCTGGCTGTAAGAGGTCGGATCTACAACGTGTTGGTGAGAGCAGTTTTGCTCTATGCTTGTGAAACCTGGCCTCTCCGAGTTGAGGATGTTAGACGACTCTCTGTGTTCGATCATCGTTGTCTCCGAAGGATTGCTGGCATCCAGTGGCAACACCATGTCAGTAATGCAGAGGTTCGGCATCGAGTGTTCGGTCACAGAGACGATAATGAAATTGGTGTCACCATCTTGAAACACCGACTTCGGTGGCTTGGATATGTTCTACGAATGTCGTCCCAGAGAATCCCACGTCGTGCATTATTTGCCGACTCTGGGACTGGTTGGAAAAAGCGGAGAGGTGGTCAGTATATGACATGGTGTTGTGGTATGAAAGAAAGCTGCGTTTCCAGCAAATAATTTTGTAAGTATTTAGTTGTTTGGATTTAAAGTATGTGTGAAGTCCTCAATGTTGTTTCATTTGTTATGGTTGTTTAAAATTTTCCGTTGATGTTAAGGACTATAATTAACCAGTTTCTTTTGGATATGGGGATCCTGTGATGGCTGCCTCGATAATGACTTTAGGTTACAAGCATCATAATCAGAGATTGACGGTGGCTATCGGTGGAATCCAGGACCCGCGTTTCGTTCTGTCTGGAACTTATCAGCCGGGTGTACCCGCATCTTATAGGTGATGTTGAATCAAGAAGTTGACATCAACTTTAGGATGCCTTTATATCTAGCTGACGAGTCACGAGAAGGACAAAACAAGTGTCCTCGATTCCACTGCTGGCCGCGATCCATCGCTTCTATGTTGTGTTTGACCGAAAAATACCGAGCTACTCAGTTAGCGGTACACGTTGTTTAGTGAAAACACAAAGTGACATGGGTTTGTATAGTTTAGAAATTTCGCTGGAAGCTCCAGGCATACTTTAATAATAAATGCTACGAAGCAAGAAACGTTAGATGAAGGCTTTTTACATTAAACTCTCACTTACATCGAATTTCTAGTGTAATGTAATTTTATGAGACTATGAAATACGAATTAATTAAAGATTCATAGTATAGTAGGCAAACAAAATTTTTATTTGTCTCCATGTACAGCATTTATATCTTACTTGTGTTTATGAAGTAAGCTTTCACCCTAAACTGTAGCGTCATTTCATAGTTGAATGTTCACAATGTATTATTATTTGGTTATATTTACAGATTAGGCTACCGGCTGATGGTCATTATGAGAAAAATGTTTATTTTATTTGTTGAAATTATAATTGAATTCCTTTTCAACTATGTATTTGGATTGATTTATCCCATCCTTATGTATAATAAATAAGTGGC